AATAAATAAATTCTGCTTTGATTTATCTACAAATATCGCTAATTAATAAGTACACATCGATAATACGAGGTTGAAATGTGAAACAGATTCGCCAACTGCATTTTATGATTACAAATCAAGTTTAATCTATTATGACATTATATAAATATAAATAAATATATATAATATTGAATTATAAAGTCTTCCTTCAAATTGTTCATCTTATGTCGATTACGTTTATATTCCGCTGCATTCGCTTGACCCCTGCCTGTGTTCGGAGTCCCACCGCACATTTCGATGCACGCGCGTGCATAATCGGCGTCACGCGCGGATAAATACGAATTAGCGAGATATCGGTGTTTGTAGTCTCGTGGTCGAAGGCATTCCTTTTTTCTTCCTCGTCCGCGCGAACGATTCGCGATCGGCGCATTTCCAATACATGCGGAGAGAGAAGACGTTCTCGCGGAAGAAGACGATCATATTTTTTCCATTCTTTCTCCCCTGGCCTCCTCCCTTCTTTTTTGCCCCTTACACTCCCTGCGTGTCCCTCCTGTTCCCCCGTTTCTTTCTCTCTCTCTTTCCCTCTCTATACTTACTTTCGCCCGTTGGCAAATTTTCATACGGCAGCGCGATATTAAAGCGCCCGTTTCCCTGGGATATTTGCACGTCACAAAACGCAGAAAATAGTTACGTCACGCGCGACTCTTTTTCCTTCGTGCTGCTTTCTGCTCATTTAATGGAAAACGGAGGCGGACGGATGGATAGACAATATTTATTATACTCCGGAACTCGATCCCCCTTTTGCGAGCGATATAACAATGTAAATACATAGCTGGATGAAGTTACGGACGCGCAATTGTAAAACTAGCTGAAGAAGTAACGATAATATACTTGAAAGGTGAAATATTCTCGATGCCGATATCTGGTAAAGTAATTTCTCTGCCGTCCCCCATCGCACAAATTATCGAACGAAATGAAATATGAATTAACGTTATTACGTCACTCGCGTATTTATAGGATTATGTAGAGACTGCGTATTTTAGAACAATATTCGGCAAACAACGAATAATACGATAAGAAATGACGCGTAAATTTTCACAACCATAACGATTATTTCCCTGCCGTTATGGACGCGTTCCGAAAAAGATGGGAGTGTATTTTATTAAAGCGTTGAACGTAGCGTGTCGAACAATGTTTGCATGAGCGGAAATATTTCGCGATATTTAATAGTATTTACTACAGTTTTCGGGTCGCGCGTAACATTAAAATCGCTTTCCCTCTCTATACTTACTTTCGCCCGTTGGCAAATTTTCATACGGCAGCGCGATATTAAAGCGCCCGTTTCCCTGGGATATTTGCACGTCACAAAACGCAGAAAATAGTTACGTCACGCGCGACTCTTTTTCCTTCGTGCTGCTTTCTGCTCATTTAATGGAAAACGGAGGCGGACGGATGGATAGACAATATTTATTATACTCCGGAACTCGATCCCCCTTTTGCGAGCGATATAACAATGTAAATACATAGCTGGATGAAGTTACGGACGCGCAATTGTAAAACTAGCTGAAGAAGTAACGATAATATACTTGAAAGGTGAAATATTCTCGATGCCGATATCTGGTAAAGTAATTTCTCTGCCGTCCCCCATCGCACAAATTATCGAACGAAATGAAATATGAATTAACGTTATTACGTCACTCGCGTATTTATAGGATTATGTAGAGACTGCGTATTTTAGAACAATATTCGGCAAACAACGAATAATACGATAAGAAATGACGCGTAAATTTTCACAACCATAACGATTATTTCCCTGCCGTTATGGACGCGTTCCGAAAAAGATGGGAGTGTATTTTATTAAAGCGTTGAACGTAGCGTGTCGAACAATGTTTGCATGAGCGGAAATATTTCGCGATATTTAATAGTATTTACTACAGTTTTCGGGTCGCGCGTAACATTAAAATCGCGTTTTACGCGCGATCGATCGCGATGCGGATTCGCGTACGAGAAAAGACAAAAAAAAAAAAAAAAAAAAAAAAAAAATAAGACAAAAAAACAAAAAAAAAAAGAAAAATAGCGGACGTATCACGTCAATGTGTCTGTCTGATTGCAAATCCCGCGCGTGCTGATGTATTGTCCCCGCGCGCGAATTAATCCGCGGCGGCGTTTTGACGCATAAAGTTCGCCTCGTCGATGAGCCATTAATTAGCTTCCGCGGCACGGATGCGACAGCCGGCATCAAATAGAATGAACACGCAAGTTTCCGCGCAGCTTTTCGTAAAACCGGAGTAACGCGCGTGTTGCCTCGATCGTGTTACCTCGCGCATATAATGCGTCCCACTAAGGATTCATACCGCGATTACGCATCGAATTTATCGCGCTGATCGTGAATTTGCTCCTGTTTTATACAACTGCGATGAAAGCTTCACTAATCGTTCCGTACATATAAATAAATACGATATTGTTGCGCAGAGGATAAAATTTCATTATTCAATTCTTAAAATTTGATATTTAGTTTTAATTTCTACAGTCTTAGGTATTTTTTTAATTACTTTTACAGAAACGTACGATCCTCGTCGGGGTTTCCTCGGCAACTTTTCATATTAGCAAGCAGCTACTTTTATTCTAAAGAGAGAGACTCAAGGTTTTCCAGGCTTGACCCAGTCCCCGACCGAGACAAAACTTGGTCCATTCACGCCACGGACGGCGCAAAGTTTCGCGAGATACATACCTACGGGGAAGAGGGCCGCCAAAGTTTTGCGGCCACCATCGCGTCCACTGTGGACCGATATCTACTGCGTTATTCACGATATATTCGTATAAACGGTCAATGCGACTCCGCTACGTACTCGGTAAATGAAATTAACACGCCTCGGGAGTCTGGTGCTAATTAATTTCAGGCGCAACGACGTTCTCGTTGAACCCGTTATCGCCCGTTTCTTGACATCGATCCGATCGTGCATTCGAACGTATTACCGGGAAATTACCGGATGTTTGACGTGCCTGGTAAAGACGCACCGTGGCATGTATAAAGCGCAAATGTTTCGAGCGCGCGGAGAAGGTTTTGCGAAAATTCCCGCCGACGATGTATTAATATTCAGCGGGAGGAAGGAATCTTGCGAATCGAACGAAATACATCTGGAACGCAAATACCATACCGTATGCATCTGTGCAGTACCGGCGGTGGTATTACGCAGCCATGTTTTTCCACCCGGAGGAAAAACAAGCGGGCGGCGTGGACAATATCGATTAAACGTTCCTCCGCATGAATTAAAGAGACTGTAAAAATTTGTTTACCTCCGGGAGGCACCTCGTGATGGTCGGCCGCATTTTCAAATGATTTAAATTTCAGATTGCTCAAATGACCAAGCCCCCGGAGGCTGCAGGCGCGGCGCTTCCTTCTCTCCTTTCCGATCCGCTCTTTCTCTTCTAGCATACAGACGAGACTCGTCAGGAAGGAAATAACAGTAGAAATACATAGTAGAACTTCAATCATGCGAATTAGTATGGGAAGAAAGGCGGATGGACAATGCAATTAGAAGGATAACGCAACCATTAGTCCCGTGGCGCAACAAATTTGACTCGAACTTACCTATGTGAACTTGGCACCCGACTTTAATAAAAAAATTTTTTGGTACATGCATTCAGTTACGCTCGGTTTGTACCCGTTTGTACCACTTTTTATTTTGTTTGTACCTCAAAGGAGTAAAAGTTACGAGGGGTTAAAAAATCATCAGCACCCCACTTTGAGATACAGTAATCTTCCAAATGCCATTCGATTAAGCGTTGTTTGTACCCGTTTGTACCGCTTTTCATTTCGTTTGTACCCCCACGGGGGTGGAAATACGGAATATTAAAAATTCGTCTAAGGGGTAACTTTGTCATTTTTCAAGATATTCGAAATCTGAAAGCGGGTGCTGTTTCGTAATCGTTTGTACCCGTTTGTACCGCTTTTCGTTTCGTTTGTACCCTTACGGGAGTGAAAATACCGAATTTTTAAAGTGGAGGTAAGAGCTAACTTTGCCATTTTTAGAGATATTTCAATTCTTTCACTCCACAACCCAAACCAAATTTTAGTTTTAAATCAGAAATAGGTTTGGGTTAAGTTATATCTTCCGGAAGTGGAGCCCCCCGTGGGGGGGGGGGCGGAACCCACTGCGTCCACGCATACACTTTCCTCTCGTAACTTTTACCCCTTTGAGGTACAAACAAAATAAAAAGTGGTACAAACGGGTACAAACCGAGCGTAATCGAATGCATGTACCAAAAAAATTGTTTATTAAAGTCGGGTGCTAAGTTCACATAGGTCTCGAACTTTTATGAATTAGAATGCCTAAGGCTCCTGGTCCCTCATTGACGTCACATCAAATTATGACATCAAAAGCGAAAAATTATATGCCAAAATAAATTAGTTTTCTCTCCCATACGTAAACAACCATTCACATTCAATAGTAGATTAATGAAATATAATGAAGTCTCTTTTCTCATTTGGTTAATAAATAGCTCCAAATCTTGATATATTGTGATAAAGTCTATTTTCGCTGGAAATATGCTAGGACATGCAGATGAGAGTTATACATGTGCATTTATTAATGCATGAATAATAAAAAAGGTTTCCGTATATTTTATCAATCTATATTAGCAGACTCGAGTAAAATACGAAAAAATTAATTTAATTCGTGAGAAAAAAAAATCGTATAATTTTTCACTTTTAAAATTATAATTTGATATCGACTTCAAAATGAACAAACAAGTTTTTTAAATGTTTAAATATCGAGTATACAGACGCTGTTACAAATCTCTTTTAATCATAAGAAAAATTAATTCTAAAGATTTTGAAATTCTATAAATTTAATCGTAGATAAATTATCCAACAAAAAAATTTAGCACTTTTCGAATTTTGATTATCTGATACAATTTAGAATAAATGTAATATTTAAATGGCGGTTTTTAAGTTTTTTCCAATTTTTCACGCTTGTCGATCGTTGGATGCATATTATAGCTGAATGTTTCTTTTACAGATGGTACACGTGACGGGCGGGGCGACAAAGTGTCGAAGCGAGCAAAGCCGCTCGATCCCGACGAAGACGATTATTACTACGATGATCCGGTGGACGAGAGAAACAATCCGACGAACGAAGCGCCGGCCGTGCCGCCCGGATTCCTGAGCCCGTCTGTGCGAGAGTATCTCGATCTCGGTAAATCGATACCCGGTACGTATAAACAAGATCATCTCTCGCGCAAAGTTGTCCCTTTGTGAGCCGCTTGTGGACCGCCGACCAATTCCGGTCGACACAGCATCACATCTCGTTTTTTCTCCCTGTGTATATACAATCTCTGCAATCCATTCCTGCCCGTCTCCTTCTTTTTATCTACCCTCTTTTTCCCATTCTCCCTCATCTTCCTACCCCTCGCCGAGCGCCGCTCTTTTGACATCGAGTGGACGCGTCGCGTAAAAAAAACGGACAATCGTGTTGTACTCGAGAAATAAATAAAACTGAAAGAAAGTTGCACACTGAAACGAGGATCCACTGTTAAACTCGCGAGAAACTTGCCAGGGAATAATAAGGAAATGGAGAAAGCACAAGATATGATGAAATATGGGAGGGAGAGAGAGACAGAGAGAGAGAGAGAGAGAGAGGAGACAGTCGATTGCGTTAGATGCGTCTTTCGTCGAACGCGTATCTTCCGTATTCTCGAGCAGGAAATATTTCACGCTCGATGGTGCCAGACTGCGAGAAATGCCAGGAACGCGGGAGTTATGCGTGGAATTGACCCTTTTCTTTAAAATACCGTCTGCAACCAGTCTGTTTTATCCATAGGAACGGAAAATGCCGCCGAATCCGTGAGAAATACGCAATCGCGCATAACGGTTGAAGAATCTAATATTCATTCGTGCAATCATCATCTTGAAGCAGAGTTTTATGCAAAATGTTTTGTATGACGACTGAAGAAAGATTTTATTAATCTGTTTTTTGCAGACACAAACTGACATACACGTATATATATAAGCTTGATAAGATGTATAGGAATTTCCACAAGAATACATAAGTAATACTTTAAAAACAGATTTTTTTTTCTGACGAGAATTTCAAGTTCACTTTTTCCTTAATAAAAATATCAAGACACTAGCAGTTCTTTCAATTACCAACTATTAACTTTAACAAAATTTTAATATAAAAATTGTTTAAAAAAAAAAAAAAAAAGATATTTATACTTAAAAGTTAAAGAGTTGAAAGAAATGACGCTCCATTTGATAAAAAATCGGCAACGAAACGATCGAGAAACTCGTGATTTCTTATAGTGTCGATAATTTCGGAACACATCGTATAGATATTCCCTAAAGTAACGAGCCCGAAGATACGTGCCGTTTATGTGAATGAAACATCAGGTCGAGCGCGATACGCTTTGCCGGCTGCGATTATATAAGATTTGCCAGCCGCAAATGGATGGGATTTAAATCTAGACGAACGACGCAATACCACCGCCGGCGTTTATGAACACCCTTCAACGGGTAATCCCGCCGACAATAGAACGGTGGAATGAGGAGGAAGATGCCAAGCGCGCGAGCGGAAGTATATAAGGAAATACGTAGCCGCGCGCATATCTCGACGAGCAATAACTTATCTTCTATATCCGCTTCTTATACCCCCCTCCTCTCCCTCTCAGCCACGGTGATACTCGCAGTCGCATAAAGCGCGTTCAAACCGAGAAACTCGTCGAATACGCGCATCGCCGCCAAGGAGCGGTTCCAGCAGCAATTTCGCTGATATTCCGCAGCTTTCTATCCACAGATGAAACAAGAAGGGCCACGCGTAGCATCTCCCTCCCAACCCTCTTTCAAACCCCTTCTTTCTCCTACCGTTAACCGGGCTCTGTCAATTTCTCTAACGCGTTTCTCTCTAACGTCTCTCCCGAAAGTTTCTCTCGCTTGATCTCGAAAGTTTCTCTACGCTTTGCTCTACGCCGATCGATATGAACTTTCCGATATCGGCATTTTTAATCTCTCGCTTGTCTGCCTTCGCCGATCAACCCATTAAAGCTCGCTGGTAACTTTAATCGCATAATTAGTAGCTGCACTTATACGCACCCCGTAGATTTTTATATATTATAAAAATACAACTGAAAATGATTATTATTATATGGCAGAGGCGCGCGGCACGAATCAGAGCATTTGTGAATCAGAACAATATAGTTTCGTCAACAAGTTTCAGGGAATTATGGACTTTAACGGATTAACTCTGCTTGAATTAAACAATGCCGAGTTTATCGATAAGCGCTTTAAAAGATCGTTTAAAGCCTCAAAGTTGTTCTATGAAATTATCAACTATTGTATATGTTTGTTTCGATTAAACTATGCGATGACGTAATAATTGATCGTGAGAAAATGTTTCGTTTCGTAATTTGAGATTTTTGCATGCAAAATTAATTTGGAATATGTAAATAAAATTATTTTTTTTTTGGTGTTTTTAATGATCTTAAATAAATAATAAAAGATGCTTTCTGATTATAGTTCTCAATATTTATACGTCGCGATATGCGCATAATGCACCGTTCCATTGTCTGCCTGCTAGTTTTCATCGTGGAGCGAAGGTCGCTTTCGTCTCTAAAAATCATTATTTTAAGGTAACAGCATTAGCGGCATCGTAAATTCACGTCAGAGTAATTGAACGAGAAACGCTATTAATCTCGACTTCATCAGTGTGACGCAGCCTTCTTCCGGTATGCTTCTCTATCTTAAAGAGAATTTAAAAATTATAAAAAAAATTAATGCAATTCAATGCCAAGTTAACAACTTTTTTCTATAATTAAAAAAAAAAAAAAATAAGCGAATGCGCAAAGAGCGATATCGTGCAGGCAAGAGATTCGCGGTGCATTCGTTCGATTAAAAAAAAATAACACAGAGCTTATCGTGAATCGTAAAGAGCAGGCGCGCGTTCACGACAGGAGACAGCTTAAGATTAAGTGGAATATTTTTAAGCGAGGGAGGCTTATTCTCAAGTTACCGCGATAATCTAGTTGCCCATTAAACGCGCGGTCGTATCGCGTTTAAGCACGATTTATGTCACTTTGTGCCAGCTAATGGGTTCTTTGAAGACTTGCAACTTCAACGCTGACCTATCGTAATGCAGGCAAGCGAGCGGTATTCTCTTCGATTTTCCTCGGTCGCCCTTCGGAGGGCGACGTCGGAGCGCGCTTACCCGTCTCTCCCTTTAGCCGATCGATCGTAAAATATTTGTAGCCTTCGGAGGGAAAATTCCTATAATGGAGTTTGCACATCGCGCCACCGGAGGGTAGAGAGGCTGCGCCGGCAGGGCAACAACTCCTGTGCACGTTACACGCGATAGAAGATGTCGACCGAACTGATTTATAAGCATACTCGTATATAACACACGGGGTGCGCATAAAATTCATACGTTAAATTAAGTATAAATTAAATCATAAGTACGAATCGGAGCACAGGGTATTTGTAAAACTTTAAAATAGAGAACCAGTATTTATTTTCAGCTCCGCCGCGAGGATTTACGCCCGTCGTCGAAACGCGAATAATATGCATATACGCGATTAATCTGCCGACCATTGTTCTACGAGATCTGATTATTTGATAAAGCGTTAAACGTATTCCGCCGCGCGATTAAATCGATCACGCTTTCGCTGTAACACGCGAGTGTTGCGCGCTTAAATCCCTAAATGCTCTTTAATCGACGTGCGATAATCGTCAGCGATGATAAATGTATACATAAATATGTATCGGTTATAAATAAATCCGTGTCGCATTGTACAATATAGAAATAAAATATGAGACTTTTGAAAATCATCGGACATCAGATGGAACGTAGTTGGGTATTATGAAAAGCTTTTAAAATGCCCGATTATTTTTAATACTCTCTAAGCGCGCAAGGGAAATAATCTAATAATATTCCTGCGATATTTCAATATGAATCAGGGATAGATTATCGGCGCAGTCATTTTCCTCGAGCGATCCGATAAATGTGCAGCGCGACATCAGCCGTGAATTTGAGAAATTTTGCCAGGCCGACGGCGTGAAATTCCGCGAATATCCATCGACGATGGACGAGACCTTCGTCGACGTCAATCTTGAAGAGATGAACGATAGCAACGATAACATCGTCGACGGCAACGACGACGTTGTCGACGCGCCTTTCGTCAACACGACGAGGACCGATTAGCGTTTGCAAATTCCCAAACAATGCACGAGGAATTTACGACGTCGCGTCGCTCTATCGTAAACTCCGGTGTGTCGGCTAACTACCGTGACACCCTTCCGACAAGGGCTGATCATGCCGCCCCTAAGCAGCTGAGTTGTTGCAAAGGGAGCGAGAAGCCGAGTCGATGAGGAAAATGGTGTAACAAGAGTGACAAAGGCGGGAGACAAAAATAACGAGATGAAACGCGAGAAGATAGAAGAGTAAAAATAGTGAAACAAAATGAAAAATAAATTTTCACGTTATATAAAGAGCTTGAGAATAATGAGGTGGGAATCTTTATCAGAAAGACATAAAAATTATGTACTTGATAACTTGATAAGAATGAAAGCAAATTTAATTTAGATCGAAAACGCATAATGGATATCGCGTGTATTTTTCTTTCATATTTTATAACTTAGATCTATTAATTATTATTTGCTCTTCCAGCGTTACGCATTTTACTATCCGATATATAATAAAAAATTCGAAGAACATTAAAAATGTTTTTCTATGTATTTCTTTAATAAATGCCGTTTGCTTTTCTTTTTCTTTCTGATACAACGCGAATGCAGAATAAAATCATCTCGGACGAAAAGCGAGAAAGAAAGAAGAGCGAATAGCTATGACGTTGAATCAATATGGTAACGTAAATGTATCTCATTGACTTAACAGTTCCCAATCTCCCGAAGGGTCGCACGGATGCGAAACCCCTCACCCTCCGAACTTGAGCTCTGTATGCCATTCTCGGATAGAATAATGAAATAGTCTAACCCCGGACGAACTCTGCACCAACGCGGCTCTCCTCGATGTCATAGTAGTTCCTGCGAAAGCGAGCTGCGCGAACCAAGCGGGAGATAGAGAGAAGGCAAGAGGGGCGAGAATACGGGATTCGCTACATGCGTCTCGCTTGCACTTTTAGGCTTTTTCTTTCTTGCTTTTTCTTCCTTTCCCGCATTTCCTCTCTCCTTTGCGTAAAACTAACCAGGTACGTCTTTACGTGCATT